ACTTTAAAATGATGGAAAAAATATTAAATACATTCCACAAACTTCTGAGAGCACATTATTTTTACAATATTTACACATTGGAACACATAGACATTTATGCCTGTAGATCAATTATTAACCAATGTTTGATGTCTATAGCAGAGTAAATGAAATTTTCTCTTATATTATTATTTGATATTACAAATTGTTAAATATCAGCTTTTTACATATCCATAAATAATTTGAAATATTGTGAACATAAAAGTCTGCATTTATGAATAATTCTGAATGTAAACTCTAATAATTTACTTACACACATTTGGAGTACTTAACAATATAGGCAGTCCTCGAGTTATGAATATAATGGAGTCTGCCCTTTCCATTCGTAACTTGAGGATTCGTAGAAATAAATATTGTACCTTGAACGTGATTCACTCCCAGCTTTCACCCACACATTCTCTAATTTAATACGTGGGCGAATGTGCGGCTTGCTAAATGAACATGAGGTATGGGGGTGGGGAAGTCCATGGGGGGGCTAGTAATGGAACAGGCCATCTGCTTCAGACCACCCAAGTCCCCCCATTAAGATTCCTCATGTTCCCTCCCCTGGGGTCCTCACAATTGCTCCCCTGCCCAATCCTGCTGCTTACCTTGTGAATATCTGTCTCTTTTCCAGCCTCTCTGTTTCTTTCTCTGCTCCCAACAAGAGCAGAGGGAGGCCTCCGAGGCCAAGAACAAACCTCCAGGACCACGTGGCCACTGCCCATGGCCTCTGTTCTGGGCCTCAGAGGCCTGGAGGAGGCCTCAGAGGCCCAGAACGGGATTCCAAAGGCTCGCAGAAACATCCTCCAGCCTCCTTTCCAAGTGGCAGTGGCTTGGAAAAGGCTTCCAATGTCCAAATTGGGCCTCTGAAGGCCCACAGAAGCATCCCCCAGCCTCCTTTCTTTGTTGCAGATAACAGAGGCTTAAACTACCATGAGATCATGTGAAATCAGTAGCATGAGATCTCTTACCACTGATCTCGCGTGATCTTGCTTTAGGCCTTCATTCTCTGCGAATGCACTGAAGGCCTGGAGCAGCCAAGAAAGTGAAGGATCTCTTGATCTTTGCAAGGTCTAGTGCCTAGGGAGATCCGGGGGGGGGGGAGGGAGGGAATGGCCAGGGTGAATGTTGCAGTGCCACTGCAGCCATTCGTAAGGGTGAACAACTGCCGTGGTGCAACAACATTTGTAATTTTGGGATTTTTCGTAAACACTAGGGGGCGCTTATCATGTAACTTCAGACATTTGCTAAGGGAATGCTCGTAACTTAGGGATTGGCTGTATGTATCATGTTTATTTTAAACAATTTTTAAAATTTATTAAAATTAAATTATAAAGAAATTCCGAGAAATAAGATTGCAACAGCAATCTGGTTAATGTTATCAGATTGATTTTATTCTCAATAGTTCCTTGATGTTATTTACATGACATTTTATTAACCATATCCAATAGGTAATAGTACTGTGTCTGTTGATGCAGTAAGTACAAATCCTATTTAATTCTGGGCAGATATTTTTTTATATTCTCATTGTATGTCCATCAAAAGAACTAATATAGTTTTATATGATATCCAAAGGGAAATGTAGATCATTATTCTTAAAAAAACAATGACTAATATATTAATTTGCTGACTGTATATTTTTAATAGTTTGGTATTTTTTCCATATTAAATACTGAAACAATATAAAACATAAATACTACATATTCCTATTAATAGATTACACAACAATACTAATATAAATATTCCACCAATTAATTTTCATCCTACTGGCTTTTTGCCTGAGGTGGGACTAGCCTTGTTTCTAGCCTGATGCCTTAACCACTACATTAAAGTAGCTTTCAACAAATAAACAGTGGCAGTAACACAACATGTATTAAGAGCAAGTTATGGCCAGTAAGATAGAATAAAAATTGAAAGTGTTATAAGTTATAAACTTATTTAAGCTCTTTTGTTATGGAAAGCTGAAAGGCTCAATGCATAAATATAAGTAGGGTTTAATGTTAGTGCTAAAAGCAAAATATTAAACCTTCACTTCAGAATAAACATGAATCAGAGTGGACTCATTTACATCTGGAATCAAAACTGGCACAAAGACAGAATATAAATATAGAGGGATTAGGGCACGTGTGTCCAACCCACAACCCATGGACCACATGCAACCCTGAACAGCTGATAATGCAGCCCCACAAGATTGTAAACTTTTAACTTTAGTATGTGATTTATATGCAATAGATATATTATATATTTTATATGCGGCCCAAGACAATTCCTCTTCATTCAGTGCAGCCCAGGCAAGCCAGAAGGTTGGACCCCCATGGGTTAAGGGGCATGCAAGTCTAGCGGAGCAAAATTATTTGATTGGTATTCCGAAGCCAAATCTACAGGATATAGTTTGTCACAACTTTTCTAATTTCTGACGTTTCAGGTCCAAACATGAAGTCAATTGTTGAGGCTTATTCCAGGAATGGCTTTTACCTGTAAGGATTTCACGACATGGATTTTTTAAAGCAGTCATGAAATAAACATTGTGATTTTACATTTTAAAACCCACTATTATGTCTGCCTTTTGTTTTTCAACTCTAGCTACAATGCAAGTTGAGATGACCGTAGAGAAGCCAAAACAGGATGAATCTTTTCCTTCTAAATTATTTTGTTTAAGAATGAAATATCTAAGAAAAGTAAAGTTCTATACTGACTATATTTTTAATGAGGCAATGAGTTTCCTGAGTGAAGTGGTCTATACTTTGTCTCATTTTTTAAATGATGAATTGACAATGTCAAAATAAGCTGTATACCAGAGGGAAATAGTTTTTCTGAGAAAGTTTCTCATTCTTTATGAGAGTCAAAGCACTGTCATAATTTACTATGCAAGAGTCATTTTGTGGAATTTATTTGAAAGAATGTCATTTTTTGATATGTTTAGAGATTTCTGACCCATATTTAATGCTCAAAACTCTTAAGTGTTCTGAAATGCAATAAATCAGCTTCTAATTTTTTTTTTAATAAAAATGAACAAACCACATATCTTTCTAAGTTGCCTTCCTCTTGGAAAATAGTGTTTATATCAGTTTTCCATCAGAAAAATACTGTCAACAATTGGTTTTGTAGATCCTTCAATTTTGCATTATTTAAATGGTAACACTATGCTGAATTTTCATAAAGCATAAAGTTTTGTAAAGCTGCAATCTTACATATTTTTTGGGTAGGAATATACTACACTGAATGCATAGTATTCCATCTATAGTTTAATAAATAGGCACAAAGACAAGTGAGAATCAGGTTAACTCTTTATTAGCTGCCATAAACAAAACAAATTAAACACCATGAAAGGAATATCAAGAATAAATATTGTTACAAAAGATAAGCATATATTAAATTGCCAAATGAGATATTGTCTTTAAAAATTTTCAGAGCTAAATTGCTTGCAGTAAGCCATGGATGAAATTCCTTCTCACCAAAATTAGAATCTCTTATTTGAGGGTAGTAATAGAACATAGTGTGAAGGAGATAACATGTTCCAAAATATCTAGAAGAATCCTTAACACTGTGTAGGCCAGGGGTAGGCAACCCAAAACACTTAAAGAGCCACTTGGACCCGTTTCCCACCAAAAACAAAACACTGGGAGCCGCAAAACCATTTTGATATCTAAAATGAAGATAACACTGCATATATCCTTTTTTACCTTTATTATAGGTGTGTGTGTGTTTGTGTGTGTGTGTGTATGTGTGTGTGTATATATATATATGTATATGTATATGTATGTATGTATATATATACATACACACACACACACACAGGTAAAAAAGGATATATGCAGTGTTATCTTCATTTTAGATGTCAAAAGGGTCTCTCTCTCTCTCTCTCTCTCTCTCTCCCTCTCTATCTGCCCTTGGTCTGCCACTCCTCTTCCCCCGCTCTCTTTCTCTCTCTCTCTCTTTCCTCTCTCTCTCTCTCCCTCTCTCTCTTTCTCTCTCTCTCTCTTTCTCCCCCCCCTCCTATCTGCTGCTCACCTGACAAGCTTCAGGCTGTTATCCAACAAGATCAGGGGTAGGCAACCTCGTCTCTTTTATGACTCATGGACTTCAACTCCCAGAATTCCTGAGACACACACACACACACACACAGACACACACACAGAGAGAGAGAGAGAGAGAGAGAAGCAGGGAAGCGCAATTCTTCTCTCTGTCTCTCTCTGCAAAGGCAGAGGAGGCTGGGAGCCGCAGGGGAAGGCTCAAAGAGCCGCATGCGGCTCCGGAGCCGCAGGTGTATATTTTGAATCCTTTTCAGTGATATAAAATCATAATCATTATGAACATGTCACCAATACAGATTGGTGAAATAAAATGTTACTAATAACTTTGGTATTCACCATACCAAATTTGAATTAATATTTAAAAATATAAAGAGTATAAAAAGTAAAGTTAAAGGGGATTATTATAAGCAATCACATGAGTTGTGGCTCCAACTCATTGCAATACGCTGCTCAAGTTAAAGTTCTCTAAGACAATGTTCTTCCACAGATCTCTTTGAGGAGGAAATATTTTGTCTGAATTATGGATATGCTATTTCCTGAGCTTTTATGAAAAACTTGTTCTGTATTCTGTTTAAGTATTCTGTTTATTTATGTGCAAATGATTTTAGGTATATGTGTGTAAGTGATTTTGAGTGCTATAATATATACAGAATTCATAATAAATCTTGTCATACAGTTGACTACAAATTAGAAGGTTAGAGGCAAAAAGTACTGATGCCAGAAAAAGAGGCTCAACATGAAACAATAACTGGTTGATTTTTTTAAACCACTTTTCCTGTGATTAAGTTCCACAATCCAAAGGCTCTCAGTGACTTTCCTGTATCCTTATTTAATTATTTTTTAAAAAGGAACTCAATAACCTCAAGGATTATGTATAATATAATACTGTTTGCAAGTTGAAAAAAGCATGGTGTTTATTGTTTATATAGTGAGAGATATACTGACCCAAATTGCCATCAGGTTCGATGTGGCAGCAACGGCAGGAGGATCTCGTGACCTAGGTGTCGTGTCATCAACTCTGTGGTTGACCAGCGAATCAGGTTGTTGAGATTCCTCTGTTTGTCTACTCGGTCTTGGGGGGCTTGTGGCTGGCTGAGGGGCTCTCATCTGTGTATTCTGGAGTGCGCTTTGGTTGTCCACATAGGCCTGTACATGGCTGTGAGAACTTTCCCTTCCTAGACTTTCCAAATTGGGCGTTGACATGGCATCTTCTAACTCTCTCTGCAGGATCGCTTCTATTGCGGCTGCCTCTTTTGCTCTCTGTTGTCGCTGGAAAATCTCAAAGTTGGCCTGAGCTTTGGCCAAGTCTTCTCTATGTAGCTTGTCGTCTACTGCTACTTGTGCAGCAACGTTAGCCCTTGCGGTATTGATCTGTGCTTCCCTGAGACGGGCGGCGATGCTCTCTGCTCCTGAGGCTTGAGATGTATGGCTCTGGCGAGAAGATGCCTTTGAATGGCGTGAGGGTCCTGTGACGTGCGGTTGTTGGGACATGCTGGAATGTGTCTTGGATATGTAGCGAAAAGATGAGGCTGTTTCAGACACGTGGGATGGATATGCGTGCGACCATTGGGATGGTGCATATGAGTAGCGGGAGACTTTGGACTCGGCTCTGTCGACCAGTCTGCATTTCTGGCGAGGCTTGGGCTGTGGAGAACCCTGTGAGCTCTCTAGAAACTTCTTGCGTTCCTTGTTTAGTGCCTTGAGGTTGTGCATCTTGCTATCGATTCTTGAGTCTCTTAATTGTTCTTGAATGTCCTTGAGTTGCTGTTCAGAGTCCATCCATTGCACATAGGCGTCTTCCTTATCTCCTTCCACTGCATGTGCCCGTTCTGGGGAGAGTTTCTCCTTCTGTTCGTGGTAGAGTTTGTATAATCTCTCCCAGCTTCTTTCATGGCGCCTGTGGATGGTGTGCCATTTCTCCACCAGATGTGAATGCATGGCGTCTGTGGGCTGGTTGATGTGTCTCAACTAGGCTGATAGGTTGAACCCCTTCTGCTAGACCAGTAGGATGCTCAGCTATGGCTAGGATAGGTTCAGTGTCCTTCTCAGCTATTTTGAAGAGAATTTGAAGAACTTCTCTCTTTGACCACTAGGGGTTGCTACTTGTAGATCAGCTTCTGAGGTGCTGTCTGTGGGTGGAGATGCCACTGGGTGCGTTCTCCTGTGTTTGTGGGTACTTCAGTGCAGTTCACCCCTTCACCACTAGGGGTCACTTGCTGTGGGTCAGCTACCAGGGTGCTCTGGCTTCGAGGTTCACCCTTTGTCCACTAGAGGGGCTTCTCTGGGTGCGGTTAAAGGCTTGCGTGTAGAGCTTCCTTTAACCACTAGGGGGCGTCTGGAGAAAGGCTAGCCAAATTCTTCCTATTACCACGTTACTGCTAGTGAGCCACTGAGAGAATGTAGAGGTACAAACTCCCATCTGGTCATTTGCAGGCTGGAACTCCGGGTCATCAGCTGTGATAATGAGCGAAGAGACTTGGCTTTGATTTCTCAAGCTGGAACAGCTTAGTGCTCAGCTTGGGTAAGTGAGTGAAAGCTTCTGATAAGATCACTCTGTGCCCTCTGGGGGGTGTTGGTAGCTTGGGATAACTTTAAGTAGCTTGCACTTTAACTAACAGATTTGCTCTGTTGTGTGCTGAATTAATTGTGGCTGTTGTGACTCAGCTAGAAAAAAAAAATTGCATGACCACCAGGGGGTGCTTCTGCGATGATTCCTCCTTATAACATTGGCTGAAATTCCGAGCATACTATGGCAACAGATGAGTTTATTGAAAGGCAATAAACCTTGCTTTTGTTTGAACTTTAGAGGCAGTCATTAAACAGTTCTTTGTTTCAGGCTGCGTGATTCACTGGCAAAGAGGGGAAGGGGAAAAGCCCAAGCTCCTTTTGGTGTTAAAATTCAAACTTTTCATGCAAGAAACAAAGTAATTTTGAATCAGATACAAGGCACTTTTCATTTTGAAAGTTAGCTAGCAAGTGAATTAGCATAACAAAACTTCTGAATCACTCCTTGAGAGCTGTCTTTTACACAGACACGGCTTTGCTTTGCAGGCTCTTACAAGCATCAAGAGAATCTTTACTTGCTTGAAGGTTTATGCAGAGAAAAGGCTGACCAATTTGATTCTCTTTCTTCAAACTGTTGCAGCTTTGAGAGGAGAATTAATCTTTGCTTTCAAAAGATGGCACAAATTATGAGTAAATCTTCTTACTATACTGACCCAAATTCAAAAGTGTTATATTTCAAATCCAGTCAGATAGTTAACTCAAAAGAAACGATCTTATAACAAACAAATATATTTTAATGAGAAAGATTACTTGCGTTCATGTTGAGATTGGTGCTGCTGGGAATACATTGGTTGTTCATCTTTCAGATCTTTTCCTTAGGTAAGAAGATTTTGCTCTTTATACCATCTTATAGCCAGACCTTCCATGGCCCATGCTTCTTACAGACAAAGAGATTCCCATGTGGCTTGTGTCCAGGAAGTCTCCAAAGACCTTTGGAACTCCTCCCACTGACCCATCCACATACCTAGCATTTAACCCAATAACTGCCAGACCTTCCAACATAGAGCTGGGTCATAGAGCTATATGGGTCATAGAGCTCTATGGGCCAGAACAAGAGACCTTACAGTCTAGTTATTCTAGACAGTTCTCAAAGATTTTGATTATAAGCACCTACAACATGAAGTTCGAAAAACAAAGCCACTTTGCATAAAGATCTATATGAAGTTAACTTCACTACCTTTGGGGTAATCATTGTCCCGTGCAAGTAACTGTAGATACTACTACCCCTGGTTATTATCTCTAGCTGGGCACTACTATTTTTTCTCCACAACTGAAGTATAAAGGGAAATACTTCCTAAAAATGAGCTTTGCATATCGGTATTAAAATATAATTTAAAAGCAGTTGTTGAGGAATAATTACTGTATGTGTTACATTTTTATAGTTTTGTGAATTTAGTGTCAGGTGTCTCACAAATTAAGATTTGTTTTCCAATGTATCATTTCTAATAAATTTCACAGATTTATTAAAACCAAATAATCTCCAGTAAAAATGAAAGTACCAAAGAAACTGCCCTATATTTTACTGAATATTTGTAAGCCTTCAAGCAATTGTTGTATTTCAGTATACAAGCCAATTAAAGAAATAATATAATTTATGGTTAACAATGGGGCCTTTATTAACGTTTCAGAGACAATTATGAATGTATATTTCTCCACAATGCATATGGGAAAATAGCACTTTATAGAACACCAAGAGCTGAAGCTGATAATCTATGCTTTATTGTTTCAGCAGAAAAATGAGAGAGAGGGAACACACTTTAATTCTAGCCAATCTGCAAAATTTTTTATTCAGGGTCTATGTTTTTGTGATTAGCAACAAATACCTTCTATTAAGCCATCCAATGGAATATAAGGACCAATCTATCCTGCTTATACGATTCCATTTTCACTTTTAGCCTCAGTTTACAACCTCTATCAACCGCAGGCCTGTTCAGAAATAATTGAAGTTTAGTTCAATTGGTTTTACTTGCAGCAAACAGACTTCAAAACTACTTCTCCTACCCAGTAAATAAAATAAAGCTGCAGTTTTAAATTTCAGGCTGCTTATTTTAAAATCAGTTGGATTCTCAATAACATAATTTGAATAATAATATTTGAAGCCTTCTCGTAACTAATTCAGGTAGCTGCTTGCAGTCATTCCCTTAGTGATATTCAAGGGACTGAATATATCTTTGTTGATATTTAATACATTATGTTATAACATGGGTGTCAAACTCACCGCATCACGTGACGTGTTGCGATGTATCGCAACTTTTTTTGCATTGCCGGAGCTGGGGTGGGCGTGGCCTTCGCATGATGCAACTGGCCCGTGGGCTGGCAGTTTGACACCCCTGTGTTATAATATTTGTTTTAATGTATTGATTCAGACTATATATCCCTTCATTGAGGCTAAATATGATTTACATTGAACTCTCCCCCCCCCCGTGTGTTTGTGTGTAAAGAATGAGAGCAAGAGAGAGACTTGCAATACAAAATAAAGTATATTAATACAAAATGGTCAAGTAGTCAGTGTGATTTGGATAGAATAGCTATTATTTTCAAGTTAATTTCCTTCTCATTTCCTTTTCTCTTTATTCTGAATCTTTTTAAAGAAATAGAATAGCATGTCTTTGTAAGATTAATGTCTGTATCCATAGTATTTTCCATGCCTCATCTGTCTGGTCACTAAACTGTCAATAAGCGCATGCCAGAAACCAATATCAATCAAATTTACTCAGGCTTTGGATGTTTTAGTACTTTTTTATTGATACATTTATGTTTTTGTCTTTTTTATTCTGTTTTTATATTAATATTTTATTAGCCATCTTGAGTGTTCCCAGAGTAGAGATACTCTGATAAACTGTCACTGATACAGTAATCTTAAATCTTAGGAAAGAATTTTGATGTATCATATATATTTAGGTTGTGATATTTTGAGGCAGGGGATTCTTCTTCTTTAGGTTCAACATTTATAATGCAAATAAAATGTGAACATATTGAAGAAACAATTACAGAATAAAGCAAACATATTTCTTTCTTAAGAGAAAATACTTTGAAATAACTATAATGTTTAATTTTTAGTGCTTTTTCAACAATAAGAGTGCTTTAAGATTTTAGTCTTTAATCTTAAAGAGTATTTTAAGATTGGATTAGTATTATAATGATAAGGTCTGGCATTTGAATATGATTTGAGTATGTTTTAGAATTCATGAAGGTAGAAGTCTGGAAGATTAGTGTCAGGAGATAATTGCTCATTGTAAACTGTTTAATAATTGATGCAAGATTTAGGCATGTTCACTCATGTTGAATATTCCCCCATTTTGTGTTCTGATTCTAAAGGAAAGTATGAAAAGATTCTGTAGGTATACATGAACTATATTTTCATATTTGTTTTAGCCACGCTATCCATTTAGAATGATTTTGGTGACAACATAATATTTGAAAACATTGCTCTGAGCAAACAGTGCCAACTCACACTTTCATATTAATTTGGTATTATAGAATTTGTACAAGCAATTCCTTTTATTTCTTTTCATCTCAATTGTATCCCAACTTATTGAAAGAACAAGGAATTTTCACTACTTGCAAAAATCCTGGTTCCCACTTATGCTGTCCTACCGATTTCTAACAGGAATTTCAAATTCTGTTTCCCAATGCATTGCAGTGAAGTTCCAGATGTTTTTCTGCCTATCTGGAATAAGTTTTACACTTCTGAGACTCTAAATACGCCAAAGTACTCCTAATATGTTAGTGGTGCAAATAATAATATTATGTTTGTATAGGTCTAGATATCATGAATAATCCCTGCTTTCTGTCATCATGATGTAAAATCAATCAGTTGAATCTTTCATTTTGTCAGAATTTCTATACATAACTATGCTTATTCTAAACCAAATTCCAAAATGTTTTATTTCTTTTTAGAAAATTGTAATTCTCAATTATAATGATAAAACATGAGGCAAATATTTGTATTTTGACAAATTTGTTATATTTCTTAGTAGTTGAGTCTGAGAAGCATGTATTCAGAAAATAGTTTAATGAACAACAAACAGCAAGTTCTTTCACTAACCAATTTTTGATTTTATAGTTATATTTCCACAAACCTTTCCTACTTAATCCAGAAAATTAAACTCTCAAATAATATGTCTCTTCTTCCCATGGGCTGGAGAAAATAGGAACACAATTATTGGATGCTTCCATTAAAATAGTTGAAAATATAAGAATTGTTCAACACTAGTAATTCATGGAAAGGCATCTTTCTTTGAGCCTATTAATGATATTCTAAGATTTAGAATAGAATAATGAGAAGGTGCATGGTGACCCAAACACCTGCCTTGGCCACAATGCTCATGCAGTATTTACATATGCAATGACTCCACTTCAGCAGATAAGACAAACAACAGTGTTGTTTGTCATTATCCATACACTTTAAAAATGCATTTTACCTCTCCAGTGCAGAGGCATCTACCTATATAATTGACAACGGCCTTTTCTTGCCCAGACACATAGGGATTCTAGTGTCTCCTTTAAATACATTGCAGAGCA